GTGGACCTGGCCAAGGTAAAAGTGATACAGGAAATGCCTGAACCAAGGAAGGAAAAGGAAGTACATGGTTTCTTGGGAAGGTTAAACTACATTTCTAGATTTATTTCTCATCTCACAGCCACCTGTGAACCTTTGTTCAAGTTGTTGAAGAAAAGTCAGACAGTGAAATGGAATGAGGATTCTCAGAAGGCCTTTGATAAAATAAAGGAGTATTTGCAGGAACCTCTGATACTCATGCCGCCAGTGGAAGGAAGGCCACTAATCATGTATCTAACTGTGTTGGAGAGCTCAATGGGTTGTGTCCTCGGTCAGCACGACGAGACAAGGAAGAAAGAGCAAGCTATTTACTACTTGAGTAAGAAGTTTACGGAATGCGAGTCGAGGTACTCATTGCTGGAAAAGACTTGTTGTGCGCTTGCCTGGGCCGCCAAGCGTTTGAGGCAATACATGTTAACTCACACCACCTACTTGATATCCAAAATGGATCCAATCAAGTACATTTTTGAGAAGCCAGCTCTTACAGGTAGGGTGGCCCGTTGGCAGATGATACTCACTGAATATGATATCCAATACACTACTCAAAAAGCAATTAAGGGTAGTGTACTGGCCGACCATCTTGCTCATCAGCCCATGAACGATTATGAACCAATGAAGTTTGATTTTCCAGATGAGGAAATTGTGTATATTCGGGATTGTAATATTCCATACCCAAACGAAGGACCCGAGCTGGAATCATATTGGACGCTTGTTTTTTATGGTGCCTCTAATGCCATGGGCAACGATGTCGGAGATATTATCATTTCCCCTGAGGGATACCACATTCCTTTGACGGCTCGTATTTATTTCGATTGCACTAACAACATGGCCGAATATGAGGCTTGCATTTATGGCATTGAAGCGGCGATCGACCCGCGCATCAAATTTTTGAAAGTTTACGGGGATTCCAATCTTGTTATCATCCAGATTAATGGAGATTGGGAGACTCGCCATCCGAACCTAATTCCATATTGTGAGCATGTTCTGAAGATGATTTCGTACTTTGAAGATATCACGTTTGAGCATATTCCTAGAGAAGAAAACAATCTAGCTGATGCACTGGCAACTTTGTCCTCCATATTCAAGGTTAAGTGGGCTAATGAGGCACCTTCCATTACCATCATAAGTTTGAGTGAGCCAGCTTTCTGCTTTGAGGCTAGTTTGGAATCAGATGGTAATCCTTGGTTTTATGATGTTGAACAATATCTTGAAACACAAGAGTACCCTGAAGAGGCATCCGTCACAGATAAGAAGTTCTTGAAATGATTTTCAGCCAAGTTCTTTCTCAGTGGCGGTGTGTTATATAGAAGGCATCATGACGGCTTACTGCTCAGATGTGTTGACAAGAAAGAAGCAGCTAGAATCATTGAGGAGATACATGAAGGTGATTTCGGGACCCATTCCAGTGGGCATACCATGGCTAAAAAGATTTTGAGAGCAGGTTATTATTGGTCCATCATGGAGACTGACTGTTACAATCATGCACGGGTTTGCCACAAATGTCAAGTCTATGCTGACAAGGTGCGTGTGCCGCCAGTAACTTTGAATGTCTTGACTTACCCTTGGCTGTTTATGATGTGGGGAATTGATATGATCGGAAAAATTGAACCAACAACATCCAACGGGCACCGTTTCATTCTGGTTGCCATCGATTATTTTACAAAATGGGTCGAAGCTGCATCCTATGCCAATGTCACCAAGCAGGTGGTAACTCGGTTTATTAAGCACAATATTATTTGTCTCTACGGAGTGCCTGAAAAGATCATTACCGATAATGGGTCTAATTTGAACAACAAAATGATGAAGGAGCTTTGTAAGTCCTTCAAAATCAAGCATCATAACTCTTCCCCATACCGACCAAAGATGAACAATGTTATCGAAGCGACCAATAAGAATATTAAAAAGATCGTACAGAAGATGGTGGTAACCTATAAAGATTAGCATGAGATGTTGCCTTTCGCTTTGCATGGTTATCGCACCATTGTGTGTACTTCGACTGGGGCAACCCCATTTTCATTGGTTTACGGCATGGAAGCAGTATTGCCAGTAGAAGTCGAGATTCCTTCTCTTAGGATCATGAGGGATGTTGAGCTGGATGAAAGTGAATGGGTACAGAATCAGATGGATCAGTTGGAACTTATTGACGAGAAGAGGTTGACAGTTGTATGTCATGGTCAGGTATATTAGCAAAGGATGAGGAAAGCTTTTGATAAGAGGGTACGGCCTCAGTGTTACAAGCCAGGTGACCTTGTGCTAAAAAGGATAATTCTCCCCCAGGGACATCCCAGGGGCAAGTGGGCTCCAACTTATGAAGGTCCTTTCGTGGTCAGAAAAGTTTTCTCTGGAGGAGCGATGATGCTCACGACTATGGATGGAGAGTACTTCCCTCTCCATGTGAATGCTGACGTAGTTAATAAATACTTTGCATAAAAAAATATAATTAAAAAAACCCGCTAAACTGAAAACCCGAAGGGGCAGTTTAGGCAAAAAGAGCGTGTCCTGGTGAATTGAAAACCCGAAAGGGCGATTCAGGAAAAAGTTAGGGACTTAAAGAAAATGACTACGCTCAACATGAGATCCTTTGTTTCTTTCCTTCGTTCCGTCACCTGGCATAAGCTCGAAGCTAATCCAAGAATGATCTGTTTGAAAGCAGGAAGATGGAAGCGTAAGAGTCATAAGAGTCATAGCAGAGTCGGGACTTGATGGATATTCACATTTACATTGCCATTTGTAAACACTTGTTTGCTTTGATTTTGTAATCACTTGCTTCCAAATGTAAATGCCTTTTTCACAGGCTGATTTCTCAAAATCAATAGAATATCTTCTTTCAAGTACACGTATACGTTTATTTTATCCCTTTTTACTATTTTGTTTGCAAAAACGTCCAATATTTTGATAAGCATATGCATATAAACTTCATGGGCCTTACACGAAAATGGTAATCTAAGTCATGGTTAGTAGATCGCTTGAAATACGAATAACAAACACAACTACTACTGTGCAAGAGGCGTGTTTAGTGCTATGATTGATGTGGATTCTCATTCACTTTACTGGTGGATGCCTTGCCGATTTGTTTCACAGCTCTGCGCTGTTGGTAAAGGTCATGGGTCAGGGTAATATCAAGATTACGACAGGTCGGCGAACCTAGTTGGAATTTTTTCTTCCCCATAATGGCTTTTATTACGTTTCTTTGCCGCACTTTCATGCGTTATCTTGATTGATTGTTTTTGCATTGTCTGCATATAGGATTTTTTTTATGGCCGAATGTCAGTCTTGATGCGTTGAATATTTTTGCCTTGATGAAATTGTTTCATTTTACTTAATTCATCCAGTATCACTCTTTAATCGATTTTTCGGGCATTTTGATACCAACTTGTTGTACCCCAATTTTTGACCTAAGATCCCATTTTTAATTTTTGCATTTTTTTTAAGATAAGTCAAGGTCACGAAATACGGTCGGTTTTAATGTCTCACCTTCGAGCTTTGACTATGCGAAGATTGTCAAGTGTTTTGAACATTTTTAGCATAAGTACCACTAATTTCTAATCGCATACAAAGGTGTATGTTCGTGTTTTCTTTTGTGTCATGTGCAGAGACAGGTCTGAATCAAGAGCATCAGGTATCGCGCCTCAATTAAAGTTTTGAGTCTCTCAAGCCAGAAGTACGGTTGATTGTGGATTCTCGAAGACTGATTCATCAAAGCACACCGTTGCACCCTTAATTTCGCCCCTAATTTTTTCAGTCGCACATTCATACCATATTTTGTCATTTGGTCACAATCATTAGTAAATATCTTCATTCATCATATTTTGCATCATTAGTCGTATTTAAGTTGACCAGAAAAGTCAGTTTAAATCAAAGTTTGCATCGTCTTTTAGTTAAAAAATACCTGACATTTCACTTCATGCATTTTTATCTCTTTACTCGTTTCTTGCATTGCTCCAAGTTGTTTATATGTCGATAATAAAAATATTTCGGTTTTATAGATAGACTGTTAAAAGCGATTCGACACTATGCGGGAAATTAGCGAGAAAATATTTTAAGTTTTCACCTTTTACCGATCATTTTATGAATCTACGTTTCGCGTAGATTATGACGGTATGCTCGCTTTATTTTTTCGGTACAGTTCGAAGTCTCGTTTTTAACCTTAAACGCCTGTTTAGTCTGATATTTTTATTATTATTTTATTTTTGATTTTTGACTTCTTGAATATTTTTTCTTTAATCTTTGTGACATGTAGTTTATTTTAATGTGTTCATTTTATTTTATCGGATAAATTTTCGTCCGTTTTTTTATCGTTTTCGGTCATTTTGTGTCTTTATTTTTAATTCAGAAAAATTCAAAAAAATTATTTTTAATTGAGTTATTTTTTATACTTTCAGGTTTTATTTTATTTTTGTCATTCAGGGGCTTTTTGGTCACAAAAAAATTATTGATTATACAATACTCTATTCCTATTGGCTGTTGGATGAAATTGAGGATCGATATTGTCACCACTTCAACCTCACTCTCTTGTTTTTTCATTCACACACAAGCTCACTCTTGTTTTTTCCTCTGACCAGTTTCCACAACATGTTTTACATTTTTCCTCTCTAAAATCTAAACCATGCTTCGTTTAATACTATTTCTCCTCTTCTACTCCCTGACCTTCACACTATCTTCCTCAACAAACTCAACCCTCCCTCACGACACCCACAACACCTACGCCATCACCCTCGATTCAACCGTCACCAACCTTTCTCTTTCCGCCTACAGTCCGACCAATACTCCCTCTGTTTGCACTTTAAACTCCCTTCGCGAAACCCACGGACCAACAACCCACCGTCCATCATCACGTCTGCATATCTCTCTCACTCTGTGCAACTCAGCCGAACACTTCTGCGAAGCTCGCTCACTTCTGCCGATTCGATTCTCGGTGCACGTTCAAATCTGCATCAGACTTACTCCGTTACGTCCCATTCATCATGACTAAAGAACACGCTATTTGGTCTCCATATGACAACAATGGAGGATCATGTGTCGCTGTTGCTGGGTCAGACTACTGTGTGATTGCAGCAGATACAAGGATGTCCTCTGGTTACAACATCCTCACTCGTGATTACTCCAAAATCTCTCACCTAGCTGAGAAGTGTGTTATGGCTTCTTCGGGTTTTCAAGCTAATGTGAAGGCTTTGCAGAAGGTTTTGTCTGCTAGACATTTGACATATCAGCATCAACACAACAAGCAGATGAGCTGCCCTGCAATGGCTCAGTTGCTTTCAAACACACTTTATTACAAACGCTTCTTTCCTTATTATTCTTTTAATGTGTTGGGCGGCCTTGACAGTGAAGGAAAGGGATGTGTCTTCACATATGATGCTGTTGGTTCCTATGAGAGGGTAGGATATAGCTCTCAAGGTTCTGGATCCACTCTCATCATGCCTTTTCTTGATAACCAACGGAAGTCCCCAGCCCACTCCTTTTTCCTGCCCAGGATGTTGTTACTCCACTGTCTGAATCAGAAGCAGTTGATCTGGTCAAAACTGTTTTTGCATCTGCATCTGAGGGAGATATATACACTGGGGATAGAGTTGAAATTGTGATCCTAAACGCCAGTGGTATTCATCGTGAATTCATGGAGCTAAGAAAAGATTGAAGTCTTTACACAGACAGTTATGTTCATGATAGACTTGTATTTGAATGTTTGGAGTGCTCCTAAATTCTGAATGTGGTCAGTGTTTTTCCCAGCCAAAAATTCAGATTTGCCTTCCAATTTGAACCGTTTCTAGTCTGCTGACACTGTAACTACTAGACTGTGCTTTTTTTACTTCATATCTGCACTGAATGTTATCCAAATCTCTCTTCAATCAATCCTTCACCCTTCCCACTTCCATCTGCTACCTCCCCAACCTCATCTCTTCCATCAACGCACAAACCTTTCCTCTCATCTTTCCTTGATAAAAAATTCTTGTTTTGAATCAAACAGATTCTAAACCTCGAGCCGCTATTCATCGTCGCATCGCTGTCGTAAAGTCATCTAATATGCACCACGAAGTCGCCATTTTCGTCTTGGACCGCCGGTAACAAAATCTCAAAAACCAAAACTCTCTCTCTCTCTCTTCTGTCTTCTCCGTCACGGTATCCATCATCATCGCCTCTCCCTTCGGCCGCCGCGTGGTGGAAGACCACCGAGAAATACAAAGTTGGCTCGTCTGCGCTCGTAGTAGGGAAACAGTTCCTGCACCCTGCTTATACTCTTGGGAAGAATTTAAAAGGAAAGGATCTTCTCGCTTTAGCTACTAAGTTCAACGAACTTTCTTCCATAACTGTTGTTCTTACCGCGAAAGATGTTAACATTGACGGTTTCTGTATGAGTCGCTGCGAGACCCACAGTTCTGTTCAACATGGCAACAGTGGTGGCCAAATGCTGTAGAAATTCAGAAAGCTATCTATGATGGAAAACTCATAAGCAGGAAAGTGAAATCTCTATACACGGCCGGCATACCTTGGGAAGTAACAAAAGGATCAAATCTCTCTTTTATTTCACTTGCCATGCATGTTGGAGAAAAGGAAGAGTTCATATTGAAATGTAATAGTCTTAAATCCGTGTTTCTGTCAAGTAATGATGCTCAAGTGTGCAGTGACAAGGGTAAGATTTCCGGTATTGGTTTGAAGGGTTGGATACCTCAATTATCTTGTTTGAAGGATGCTGCTTATTGAGTGTGGAAACGTGTTCCTCATCGGTATGTTAACAAGAACTGTGGCACTAAGGAGAAAGAGGTTGACAAGAAGGAGAATATGGATTGTTCAAATGCGAAAATAATTTCAAAGTCATCTATGAAATTTCTTGCAACTCATGGCTTGGAATAATGGTGGCCAAATGATGCAGAACTTTGGAAAGTCATCCATAGTGGAAAACTCGTAAGTAAGAAAATTAAATCTCTATACACCCTCCATTTTGATGTTTTCTAATTCTCACACCAACTTTGTTAATTATTTTTTATTGTTAATTAGTCAATAGTAATTCTTTATCATAATTTTAGATAAACCTCAATCGGTTAGTTTAGTTTAGAATCAACTTAACATTTTCTTTAGAATTAGTTAGTAAGTTTAGAATTTTTATCGAGCTTAGTTAGTATTTTTTTTTAGAATTTTATTCGGTAGTTAATAATTTTAGAACGTTTAATTTAGTTAATAACTTTAGAATGTTTGATTTAGTTTAGTTAGTAATTTTATAATTTTCATTTAGTTTAGTTATTAGGTTTTAGAATTTTAATTTAGATTTAATTCAATAATCTTAGAAATTTCAATTGTAGCTTAGAGTTAATGTTTGCTATATTTTTTTATGCTTGATTTTTTTTCTTCCGTCACGTATTCTTTATTATCATTCACTTGTTATCAATTTTTGTTTATGTTTATTCCTTTTTTATTTTCTTTTCATATGTTAATAAATTTTGTGATATTTTCGACTTAGTTCATTTTAATTTTTATAGCTTATTTTACTGTTCGTTTGTTTAACTCCAAGGGAAATATTTAAATTTGTTGACTTCATGTCATCAACTACATCTCATCCGATCGTGCGAATACCCTTTTTTTCATTTTTGTTTGTTTACTATTTTTCCAAACTCAAGATAATTTTCCCAAAAGACTCCATCTTCAAACTCACACCTTTTAAGTCAAAACTTCGACATTAGGTCGTCGTATCTTCAAAAATCTCGTCCATACCCATCTTTTTAGCCAAACGAATCATTTTAATCAAACAAACAATTTTAAACCAAAAAACAGATATTTCAAAAGGTTCCTGCGGAGTACCGCAGATGCATTAGGTGCTAACACCTTCCCATTGTATAACCAACCCCCGAACTCTCGATCTCTTTCCAAAGCGCATTGTATTTTTATTACTTTTAAGTATTATTTTACATTGCATATTTTAGGGTTTTATTTCGCTCTTTTCCCTTTTCCCTTGGAAATAATAAAGCGCGGTGGCGACTCTTGCTTTTTGTGAGTCAAGTTAATTAATAGCTTGATCTCCGATTTTCACCGCTACACAACTGTGCCAATTCTTTTGCTTAGCCAAAAGTTTGGAGGAAGGAGTTTAGCTAAAAACGATGAATGTAATGGTATGTTTTTGAGTAGAACCCCGTTAACGATGTACAAGCATTGTTTCAATCCCCAAACACTGGATATATAAGGGAGTTAGACCCTCGTTAACCCCTCCGAGCCTTCGAAGTAGGAGTTTCTTTTCCGTTTTAAAAAAAAGAGGAAAAAACCATATTTTTAACCAGGGGCAGGGTAGATGTTCAGTTCATTTGACCAAGCATTCAAATTTCAAAAGGAATGTCCCGACTGAGGATCACCATATTTTATGTTTCACATCATGAGATCAGGAAAAATGTATAAACCATGATGTTCATTTCTTCACAAAGTCCTGAGGTCGAGATCGAATCGATACAATAATGGCTATCCCTCGCCGACCAAGGAATGAGGCATTTGTTTTCTTCAAAAAAAAGAGAGAAAGAAAAAAAAAGTTCCAAGACCTAAAGTCATATTGACTTGCTCGAAGTGGAAAGTATGAATAAGAAAGAAACAAAAAGCCCTGCTAAGTCGAAACTTGAAAATAAGTCGCTTAGGCAAAAGTTAGGGCATCCCGCTGGACTTTCAAAATTGAAATTCAAAAGATTTTGTCCAGTCAAAAGTTAGGGAAAAGAGAGCCTAAAAGGCCGAAAAAGATTATCCAATAAAATTTTCATCAAAAGAAGAGGAACAATAATATCAAAAAACAAAATCAGCAAAAGTTAAGTGACAATCATGTTGGAGAATTTGTCGTGGTTACTCAACCATTATAAATCCTTTTGAAAGATGAATGCTTGTGATAAGTCAGCTGAGCTTAGGACAGGAGAATATCACGAAGGGGGTGGGCACCAAATAACTTGATCCTTGAAAAACTTTTTCTAAAAAAACTCGAACCGGGCCACGTTACAACCTCTAAAAGTCCTAACTGAAACAAAGGTTTAACTCGAAAGCATACTATAACAAGATAACGTTTCCTAAACTCCCAAATATGTGTTGCATATTCATGTTGGTATCTTATCACCCGCATCTTGACTCATTTTTTTTTTTAAAAAAAAGGAAAAAAGGGGAAGAAAAGTTTTGAAATTTTTACACTCTAGCCAGTGATTCATTCACAACAGAGATGCGACACTTTGTTAAGGTTTTCAACTTCAAGGCTTAAATAATTGTCGCATCAGATCTGTCATTCCCAAAATAAACATCTTTCTGCATGCAAAACATTTGATTGACATCAAAAAAAGAGTTTACACGTTGAACACCTGTAAAGAGCTTAATGATTGTCAGGAAGGGAATTTTTGTTTTTTTCTTTTGATAGACAGAGCCCATGTATGAATAGGACTTTACCTATCCCCAGTGAAGTTTCGTTTCTGCAGCGGAGTTTTGTTTCCCCTGAAATCTTCTTTTAAAGGCTTCATTCTGAGACTCCGGATTTGAGGATATCGCATATCCCCAACAGAGTTGCCAACAGAGATCTCTCGCCATGACCTCTCATTTCCCAGTCGGTCTATTGATTGGGGCATCCTTATGTTAAGATCTTTACCTATCCTCAGTAAAGTCGATACTGTGTGACTATCTACATAATCCATCCAATGATTGCATTCCAGAAGAAAAATCTCTCTAACAAAAATCTTCAACAGAGTTCCCTCTACCCGGTGAAGTCATGTTTCCTCAGCAGAGCTTTGTTCCCCCAGCAAAGGTTTTCACCCCTCACGTCGGGTTTGTTGTCTTGGTGTCATCCTCAACACGATCGTGCGCTGTCTTTTCCAGAGATTACAGTCTTGCCCTTATCTTCTCCCTCAATCTATAATCCTCAGATGGCGTCCCTCTCTAGAAGCTACAGTGTCGATCTGATCTTCTCTAGGAGTTTGCAATTTATTTTTGCAGCTCCTCTCAATGGTTGTGGCCTGTTTCTACTGGTTGCTCGATTGTTATTCCCCGCGAAGCTTCATTTCTTCGAGGTTCCCTCTATAGAGGTTCCTCGTATTTTCTCCTCTCCTTTGGATTTTGCAATTTATTTTTTCAAGTCATGTCAGATTCTGAATTCTTGGTTTTTGGCTTCTCAATTGGCCATTTCCCAGTGAAACTTTTAAACATGCATCATTAAATTGCATCTACCAAAACACGCAGCATTTCCATTATATGGAGCATTGCGCTATATAGAAAGAATTCAAACATGCATCAGAACATAAGCCATTATTGTTTCTGTTGTCCCCAGTGAATTTGCTAATACTTCAGATTAAATCCCCAGCGAGGTCTTCGTCCTCATTATCTCAGTTTCCTCCCTATACTAATATCCTTTTGACGTTAATCATTTGTTTGTTTGAGTGTCTACTCTTGACTGTAGTTCAGTTTCTCCCTGGAGCGGTCTTCTCGGGTTAAGTCTTCACTACCCTCTCCAGTTCACTCCAATGTTTATTGATGCACCTTTCAAATACCAGTTTCGTCCTGATATTCGCTTTCAGCAGGTTTTTAGGTGTACGCCATAATCTCCTTGCTTTGGGTTGAGTTAGAGTTTCGTCTCCTCGCCTTGCGCATGAAATCCAGTTTCGTCCTGGTACTCATCTAGTTTAGTTTCTCCTAACAAGT